CTTGAGAGCTTCCCCTTCCTGGTGAGGAAGGACCCAGAGAGTTGGTTTACCTCTCCCTAAAGGGGATAAACTCCACCTGGCACATTGGGGCCGATACCTAATTCCATGACATTGTCTCTCACTTTCCCAGGGGCCCCACCACCTCCAGGGGCTGCTCCCCTGCAAACTGGAAGCAACTCAGGAGCAGAGAACTGTCCTTCCAGCTGGACCTGCCAGTGTCAGTGCTACAGCGCTCCCTGTGGTGGCTGAGGACATGGTGGTGGTGGTTCCAAGGCCAGCGGGTGCTGCAGAGGGCCTAAGCTGGCAGGTGGACATCCCCTGAGAGGTCCCGGACTGCAAGAGGGCACAGGCCAGGCTGAGGGACCGGACCCCCACACCCCAGTGCACAAATCTCGTGCACTGGGCCTCTAGTCTATATATTTAAAAAGCTAATATGCAAAGTGTCCCCTCAGGAGTTCAACCGGGAGTTCGATCGCTCACTATGATGGGAACTGACCACCAGGGGGTGGCACAGAATGAAGAAAGGCCCTGGCTGGCAGCCGGAGGCCCTGATCAGCCCTGATCACAGGCCAGGCCAAGGAACACTACCTGTGCATGAATTTTGTGCACCGGGCCGCTAGTGTTAGTAACAGGAGAAAACCTACATGCCCTGGTGAGTGATGACACTCCCAGAATCAAATGGCAGGAGGCAGAAGTGCTTCCCGGAGAGCTGAGGCAGGAGAGGCAGGGTCTGGGTGGCCAGGGCTGGACAGGATTCCACAGGGGTGAGCGCACTGCCTGTTCGGGCCGCTCACACTGGGGCGGGTAGGTCGCAGGCGCATCCTGCAGCTTCCATCAGCGCCTAAAGCCCCAGCAGCAGTGGCAGCGGTAGCAGCAGCGGCGGTGGTGCCCATGTGAACAGCTCTGAGCAGGCAGCATGTTCCATCAGCAGCTGGCCTGGTGCACGTGCATGGAGGTGAAGTCGCTGGCACCTGCTTTCTGCAGGCCTGAGCCTTCGAGCAGCCAGGGATGAGCTGGTGATCCCAACAGCCTGACAGCCTAGCGGCAGCGTTTGACCTGGGCACTGGCAAACAGGCAGAAGATGGCCCTGATCGCAGGAGGCTAGGCCCTAGAGATCCTACCCGCATGATTTTGTGTGCTGGGCCTCTAGTGTAAAGGTAAATGTGAAGTCACTAGCATAACGCAGAGATGCAGCAAATGGGTGATGGTGGTCTGTGAATAAAAGGTGCCCCTGGGTGCCGGACCATCCTGGTCTCAGCACTGAAAGTCCCAGGTTCCAGAAACCCTCTTGGTCACGGGGAAACCAGGACACTTGGTTGCTGTGTGAGGCCTGAGGTTTGGGATGTGACTCCAGGCATTAGAGTCAGACACACCCCTGGTCCAGTCCCAGTGGTGGCCAGGCCACAGCAGTGTGGGAAGGGGAGATGGGAAACCGAAATTAAAGACCTGGCAGGTCCGCGGAACACAGTGGCTGCCTAATCAATTCAGTATTTACTCGGCAAATATTTGAGCTCCACTGCACGCCAGGCAATGCGCTGGGTGCCCCAGACGTAACGAGGACTAGCTTTTATGATCGGGAGGACAGTGACCAAGCACCTGACAAAGGTGGCGACTGGGAATGGACTGATACTGGGTGCACACAGGGACCTCTGAGGAGGTGGAGGGTGACGTGGGCCCTCAGCCAGGGCAGGATGAGGGAAGGCCTAGGCAGGAGAGCCAGGCCGGCCCCTAAGATGTGGAAGCTGCACAGCCACCAGCTAGCCCTGGGAGCCGGCAGGAATGTGGATTCTGTGCCCCAGGCAATGGGAGGTCTCAGTGCAGAGGAGTGTGACCTCGCTTCTAGCCACCATGGGAAATGGAGCCATGACCGACATGGGGACACCCCCGGAAGGCAGCTGCAGGAGCCCCAGGCACATGTGACACAGCCGGGGTGTAGCTGCAGAAACGAGAAGGCAGTGCAGAGGCAGACCCGGGGCTTGAAGACAGAGTGGCCACGGGGGAGATGAGTTGAGTGTAGGCAGACAACCCAGCCAGGTCAGGACCACCAAGAAGCAGCAGTTTGGGTGTGTGTGGGGGCTGGTGGAGTCTGAGGTGCTTGTGTGATGTCCCAATGGCGATAGGAGGGTCCAGGCAGAGGCGGGGGCTGAAGACAGGGACTGCGGATCAGCTCATGCAGCCTTCACCACACCAGGAGGCAGGGTTGGTCTCACCCCCGTTTACAAGGCCAAGGCAGAGAGGCTGATGGACAGGGCTCCAATGGGATGGATCTGTACATTCTTGTGCTTCAGTAAGAACTCATCTAAAACTGTTGTGCCGCAACCTTTTGTAGCAGGAGTTCAGGATCTGAAGAAGGGGACTATGCACAAATGAAAACACTAGACAAGAAATACGAATTGAGAAGGCATGGGGGGCCAGGTGGAGAAGCACCCTGAAACCTGGCGTTATCCGCTTTTTATTCAGTTTTAGATACACATCTTGCCCTCAGTAAAGCACGGCAAACAGGTAGCAGACCGTCTCTAAGGTCAATAAAGATCAGTAAAGATCAGTAAAGTTCAGTAAACATTTACTTTGAGGCTATTAGGTCAGGAAATTGCTTCGAGCCACTGCCATCTCAACATAACAATGGTGCATGGTATTAGCCCTCTAATCGTCCAAGGTCCATCAGCCTTCCGTGTTCCTTGGTGCACTCTCATGATAGTATCGACAGTGGATGGCTTCCCGCACAGTCGGTTTAAAGTGTTGTGCTTTGTAATACTCTAGGCAAGAACGCTGTATGCCTTCCGGCCTTCCTTTCAATTTGTTGAGCTTTTACCACTGGCCAGTGCTACCGACGGAGCCAGCAGGAGCCTTGTGGTAGAGCCGCCTCCTCTCTGCTGGCCTGGTATTCCCACCATTAATCTAGGGCAGGGGCTTCAGACCGAGGCTCCGAGGGGCAACCAGCACGTGGAATTGTGTGTAACACGCCCATGTGCTCAGATTTGCAAGCGTCACTGAGCTACAACCTGACTAAGAACCAGCGGCATTACTCAACAGTACACCTCGATTATAACAACAGCCAAGACATGTTACCAGCCTAAGTGTCCATCAGGGAATGAGTGGACCAAGAAAATGTGGTGTTGCAACGGAATATTACTCAGCCTGCCCTTTGTGGCAACATGAACGGATTTTGCTACGTGAGCTAAGTCAGACATAGAAATAAGAATACTGTGTGATCTCATGTGTGGACTCTGGAAAAGCTGAACTCAGACACAGAGAGCAGAATGGAGGTTGCTGGGGTTGGGGGTCGAGGAAATGGATGAGTAAGGTCCAAGGATCTAATGTAAAACATGATTCTTTCTTTTAAATGGGAAAATAAAGACTTGTGTATAGAAATAAAAAAAGAACCAGTGGCAAGCCCCTTGAGAGCTAGTGCCCTGGGCAGGCGGGGATGTTCCACGAACACCTGGCCGCCTGCTCACAGCTTGCGGTTCCTCGGGCCTCTAGGGGGGATGGGACAAGAGGGACTCGGAACCCGGTGGATGTGGAGAGACCATTATGAGGTGGGGAATGCTGGCTGCCGCCCAGGGAAGAGGAGGGGCTGTTTACCCAGGACCTCTGGAGATGCGGAGGACTCAGAACCATGCGAGTCTCCCAGATCCAAGCTGTGAAATGAATGAGCTTCTCCTGTGGGAGTTCTGGACCCAGGGAGGACAGGCCTTGTGCAGCAGGAAATGTGACTGCCCTCGTGGTGACCCGACCCGGGAAGCCACGGCCAGCAGCTGAGGGCAGTGTCTGAGCAGAGCAGTGGTGTCCTGGAAGCCCGACCTGAACGCCTGCCCCTGGCCTAGCTGCTCCGGCTTTCTGACCGTCACACGCAGGAGCTGGGACCGGGTCATCTTGAAAATCTATTTCCGCCCAACGGCCTCAGTGCCTAGCCTGCCAGCACCAGCCAGCCTGGCCCTGACGGGGCACTGGAGACAGAGGGTGGGAGCACCCCAGGGCCATGGCAGGGGCGACCCTGCTGTGGGAGGGGCTGCACTGGCCCCGCTAGGCCTCCGATGGAGTCAGAACCGAAGCACAGCTGGACTGAATGTCTCCTGGGGCAGGTCACCCTACCACAGGTCAGTGCCACAACCCACCTGAGTTCCCTTCCTCGGGCTCCCCCGCCTGAGCTGCCTCCGCCCCTCCTGCCTTTTCTTGGTCTGACCACTGATCCGTCCTGTGGGGAGGCTGGGATCATCTGTGGTTTGGTAGCCCATTCCCTTCCCTTTGGACCCTTGGCCTTCGGTGCCCTACCCTGAGGCCAAGGCGTGGGCACACAGTCAAGGTGCCAGTCGAAGTCCAGATGGAGTCCTCTCTCCCCGCTTCACTCCCGCTGTCCCAGCTTCCTGCTGGTGCAGAGAGTCCCCGTATCTGCCCAGGGAGTTGTGTTGCTTAAGTTGGAGCGGCTTTGGTTGCTTATTACCAAACCCATCCCTTTGGGGGCAGCTCCCAGCACAGCGGCTGAGCCGGGCTCCTGCCTCTCCCTGCGCTCCAGTCGGGAGGGGGGAGGAGGGAGGAGACTTTCTCAGCAGCCGGGCGCTGCCCAGCACGTCTTCCCTGGGGTGGTGCCACGTGCACACAGGGAGGCGGCTGGGCCTGAGGAAGGAGACGGGGGGGGGGGGGGGGGGGGGTCCCCTCCTCCCCTCCTCCCCTCCTCCCCTGCGAGAAGCTGCGCTCACCGGCTCCCCTGCGGAGGCGGTAAGGACTGACTGGTCTCAGGGCTGCTCAGTAGCAGAGCTGAGCTGCTCCCGCCCCGCCCCGGGCGGCCGCTGTGCCTCCAGCGTGTGCTGTGACCCAGGTCCTCACCCTTCCTCCTTCCTCTGCTCCCAAAGGCGTACCAGACCCTGAAATGAACGCCCGGTGCGCTGTCTCCATCCTCGGGTCCCCTGAGCTGCGCTCGGACCTCCCGCTGCTGCGAGAGAAAACGCCCGCGGGTAGGTTCCGCTCCCAGGGCACAGAGGCGGCTCAGAAAACGGAAGTGTTTCTCGAAAGCTTTATTTGTGGTCACATCTACAGCTGTCATCTCAGCACACACACGAGTTCAGTGCAGTTTCTCACATACAAAACCGCGGACGCGTGAATGAACAGTGCACCCGACAGAAAACAAAGTCCACTCGCAAAGCGACCGCAAAGCTTTACACATGAGAAGTAAACAGTGGTTAGTGAGGCGACAGCTTCTGTCCCCCCAGGAGGGAGATCAGGCCCTCCCTGCAGGTCCCGGGAGTGATGCTTCCGCTCAGCCTCGGGGTGAGGAGCCACCCCTCCTCCCACACGCACCACCCCACGCACACGCAGGGGCGGCGCCTTTCCAGGCCTCACACATTTGCATTTCCTGGCTGAGAGCAGGGAAAGCTTCCAACTTTCTTCTGATCAGTGTGTTTACATTTTTGAGGAGAAAAGAACAAATAAAATAGAAATGTACATTCCTTAGTCCACAGGAGATTCCTGCTAAGCAGCTAGAGGCTGAGGGCAAGATAAACGGGAAACTGGCGGCTGCTCCAAAGGCTCCCAGAGCCGGAGGCCCATGACTACATCCTGTCTGCGTGGGAGTGACGAGGCCCAGGTCTGGAATGCCCGGTGCCCCCATGACAGGTGATGCAGGCTTGTGCATACCTGCCCGCCTCCCACGGAGCCAGTCTACCAACCACAAAGCTTGAATCAGGACTCGCACCTGTGCTTGTAAGTGAACTGTCCCGGAACACACATGCCCGGGCACTTCCCATGGCCTCGCAGGAAGAACTAGCTACCGCTGCTTCTACAGGAGGCCTGCCGAGCCTCTCTGGGCGAGGAGACAGGAGCTGGCTTCCCCAGACCCTCGCCGCCTCAGCGCCCCGAAGCCTGCGGGCGCTCTGCTCCGACAGGGCTCATCTAGGCGAGAAGGCAGAGGAGGGTGCTAGTCGGAACCGAGCAGCTAGGAGAACAAGCTCCGACCCAGCTGTCCTCCTGAACTGCCCGCAGAACATCGTGATCGTGCAAAAGAAGACCAACAGTTAGCCGACTGCAAAAGTATTTCTAAACACAATTTTTCTTAAAGCAACATAAAGTCTCGGGAAAGCTGTAGGGATGGCCAAAATTTATCAGGATCTAAGGAGACCAACCTTTCTCTGTACAGCAGTGACCCCAGAAGGGCGGGAATGAAAGGACCACCAGCCGTCCCTGGACACAGGCGACACTACTGAGCACCAGGAGGAGAGGGGACCCTCCCGCCCAGCTCCACAGAAGGGGCTGGGGCAGAACTCCGAAACCTACACCCTCCTCCTCACCGGCACTCGCCCTCCCACCAGGGCTGGCATCCGCTGATTTGAGGCTCTTGCCCTTCCTGCTCCCCCATGGCCAGCAGCACACAGGCCACTGCAGGGACCGAGGGAAGTGTCCCCAGGGCAGTGCACAGCAAAGTGTTAGGAAGCAGTGACAGTAACACTCACAGGCCAATGAGGCCACGGCAAGGGGACAACAGCTCCGTCACGTCTCATACCCGCCTGACCCCGCTCAGGCACAAGCTCTATCCTGCTACCCCCAGGGAGCCAGCAGAGCCACCCTGGCCTGGAAACGGGAAAGAAAGTGACCACAGCGCAGCTGAGCCTGGGCTAAAGAGCCTTCTGTTGCCTTGTGCATCTGGGTCTGTCATCTCAGCTAAACATCCACCCACTCCCCTCCACAGGAGGAAGCGACAGCTCTGCAGCTGGGGCCTCACGGAAACGAGCTCTCCGCTGTTCAGGGGTGTTCTCACTGCTCCCAGCGCATTCGTGCGCCTGCTGCTTTCCAGCTGCGCTGTGCTGGCATGGAACCTCATCTCGATTCAGAGACTTCCTGCCCGGCTCAGTCATTCTGAACAGTGAGCAGGGCCATTTCCCCTCACCTGAGGATCCGGCCTTGATTCAGTTCATCAGATGACTTGGATGTGGATTTTAACCTTTGGAATGAGGGCTGTGCCCCAGAGGTCACCAGCCTGTAGAGCCACCACAGCTGCCCCTGTTACCACCTCAGGAACCAGCGCCTTCTTACCCAGTGCCATCGCAGATCTCTCTGCTAGCATCCTCTACTCCCTCACACGGCTTCTCTCCTCAGAGACTGACCTCCTGCTCCCTCTCTGACACGTCACAGATACCCGCAGCCTCCCCTCCTCCTCCATCCCCAGATGAGCAGAACAAGATGAGTGTTAACAGGGCTCTGGAAGGCACCCGCAGCAGCTAGGACAGGAGAGGTGTAGCTGGCAGGTGCCTAACTGGTCAGGGCTAACCCCTCATTAAAGCACTCATTTCCAGCCCTAGCTGGTTTGGCTCAGTGGATAGAGCATTGGCCTGGGGACTGAGGGGTCCCGGGGTTTGATTCTTGGCCCTAATCCGAGGTATGCCAGAGGCAACGAATCAATGTGTCTCTCTCTCATGGTGCTTCTCTCTGTCTCTCCCTCTTCCTTCCACTCTCTCTAAAAATCAATGAACAAGAATATCCTTGAGTGAGGATTAAAAAAAGCCACTCATTTCCATTTAACACCTCATGTCAGGGCAGGAGACGAAATGTCCTTCTAGTTTGAGATTCACATGAATTTTAAGAAAGTCCCTATCACTATTCAGACTGGCAACAATACAGGTGCCTGACAACACAAAGGCTACAGAGTATTTTCAACAACATCAACATAATCCCTAAATACTAGAAAGTTAAAAGTGAGGATGGTGCTACTGTACAAACTGGACGGAACTGTGGGCCTTCCAAGCTCGCAGGGAGCGCATCCAGGGTTGTCGGACCTGAAGCGCTGAGGGCCAGGCCGTGTCCTGGGGCAAGCCCCTGCCCTAGGGGCCCTGCAGTTTGTCTTACAATAAAGAATTGGCAAGAGCTCCACAATGAGATTCACAAGCTTAGCGGAACAGCTAAGGGGAGGCAGGCGGCAGGAGGGGAACTTTCTTTTCTTCAGTAGAACTGCTTTGTTCAAAAGTGGTTTCCAATCTCTACGGCTCGGCTCGGCAGGAAACAGCACACAACGGAGTTCCTGAGCTTTCCAGACACTGGTGTGTTCCCCTGAGCACACGAATGGCTCAGGACAGCCTACACCAGGAGTTTAAGATCTAAACTGGATGCTCCTTTATGCTGAGCAGCGCACATGAGCACTTAATTACATACGCAATCCCTTAAGCTCAGTAGGTACCTGCGTGGAGCAGGGCCAGCCCAGAGCGTCTGTGCTCCCTCCTCACCGAGTCTGTGGGCCCAGGAAGAGGAGGGAGGAAGGAGGACACGCCCAGGGTGACTTTCACCCACCCTCCCCTTTCCCGGCTGAACACTTACAGGAAACCTGTGGTGCATGACTGCTTCCTGTGGGAAGGCCGAGCTGAAAATGACGGGCTATTGACTTCTCTGTAGTTCTCCTCAAGGCAGTTCTCCTTACCTTGATGTAACTAAGATAGCCAGTCCAGTAAGAATTCAAAAATATGGGCAACACTTGAAAACCCTCTGTATTCTAAACTGCTCTTTAGCACTGTAATAATCGTTAAAAAGAGAAAGAAAGCTAGCACTGCACCTACCTACATAATATCCTCATTATGTTCCTAAACCCCTGACTTCCAGGTAACGCAGAGAAAAGTGCAAGTTCTCTAACAGGCTAGGGACACTCATCCTGACACTAGAGAGAGAAATGGCACTGACCACCAGAGACTGCCTCGTTAGGAAGCATTATGAACAATTACAACCACTAGGTGGGGCCAAGAGCTTGAAGCAAACCATAGGGAATGCCTTTCCCTTGTTTTAGGAATTTAAAACTTCGAAAACTAGAGAAAGTAAAAGGCCAGGTGTCCTCATCTGAGGACATACGCAGTGTAATTAAACTCTTCCAGTCAGACAAAACACGTAGTTGTTTTTTCATGGAACTGAAGTCAAATCTAGGCAAACCTTTTTACCAACAAGTACAGGGCAAACTCCTGAATCCAACACATTCAGCAGAACTGATTCCAGGACGGACTGTGGGGGGTGCTGGGCATTCCAGGTACAGGCGAGGAGGGGGCAATCCCTTAGAGCTCCGTTGTCAGTAAACATTTCTGCTTCAAGATGGGTTCTCCGCTCACAGTGGGAGCAGAGCTGAAAGGAAGAAAGAATGAGTTATTCAATTAAACCCTTTGAGATTGAAACAACTCCCATTTCTCCACGCGTGCCACGTGGAGCATGCTGAGAGTAAATAACAGAGCTAGCAGCTGGCGTGGCTCAGTGGTTGAATGTCGAACTATGAACCAGGAGCTCACGGTTCGATTCCCAGTCAGGGCACATACCCGGGTTGCGGGCTCCATTCCTGGTATAGGGCGTGCAGGAGGCAGCCAATCAATGATTGTCTCTCATCATTGATGTTTCTCTCTCTCCCTCTCTCTCTCTCCCTTCCTCTCTGAAATCAATAAAAACATATTGATATAAAATAAAATAACAGACCTAAATGACTATTGTAATACTTAATTTAGCAGTGAGGTATTCCACAGAAGGGAATTTTCTAGATAACTAATGCATATTTCATCTTGAAATGAAATCTAAAGATATCAATGTCTCCTACTTCCTTGAATAAAATAAACCAAACAGACACTTGCCCATTTCTTGATGAGTCAGTTATTATTATGAATACCAAGAACAGTACTGTGCTGAGCATGACAGAACCTGCTCAGGAAAAACCCAGTGGGCCGTTCTGTGCTTCTTTACATAGTATCAGGTGGCTGTCCAAGTTCCTATACCAGTCAGTATGTTTTGTTAGAGCTATGTGAAAAATAAAGTATATGGCCCTGGCCCTGGCCCTGGCCCTGGCTGGGTGGCTCAGTTGGTTTGAATGTCACCTGGTGTGGGTGTGCCAAAGGGTTGCAGGTTCGATTCCTGGTCAGGACACATACCTAGGTTGTGGATTCAATCCCAGGTCGGAGCGCACAAGAGGCAACAGATCAATATTTCTCTCTCTCTCTCTCTCTCTCTCTCTCTCTCTCTCTCTCTCTCAAAATGAATGAAAACATATCCTCAGGTGAGAATTAATAAAAAATTTAATTCAATTAAAAAAATAAAAATATATAGGCTTTGCAAAAGAGTCTCTGTTGTAAGTGAAGAGCATGAACTTAGGTGCAAGGATCTAGCATCTATTTTGGTTTCAGATAAATTTAATATCAAAACATATAGTACATGGTCATACATTTGACCCTTGAACATGGGGATTAGGGGTGCCAACCACCATGCAGTTGAAAATCTGCACATAACTTGATTCCCTCAAAACTTAATTACAGCCCCTTGGTTTCCACTGGGGATTGGTTCCAGGATCCCCATGGATACCAAAATCCACCCAATATTCAGACTGGCAAGAATATATATAGCATTTCTATAAAATGCTATAGAACAATGCATAGTTGGCACCATGCATCTGGGGATGGAAAACACTGGTTTTCATCTGAGGCTGGTCGAATCTGTGGATTTATATTAATTTTAAAAAAATACGCATATAAGTACACTAGTGCAGTTCAAACCATGTTGTGTTCAAGGGTCAATTGTAGTTTAAAATATCAAAAGTACTAACAAGGTTTATAAATGAAACAGCAATTATTTATATCACCCTCTCCATTCCTACTACACAAACACTTTCAACTGTGGGGTGTTTTGTGTTTTTTTCTGGAATTTTCCCTTCACTTTTCTGTATCTCTGGTTTTCTGAGTGTAGGCCCTGGAATTTGTTATAAATGCAGATTCTTACACACCATACCAGACACACAGAACCAAAGAGTCTGAGGGTAAGGCCCAGGAACCTGTGTTCTAGCTAGCTCTCTCGGTAATTCTCATGTACAACTAGCGACAGTCCTAACTGTTCTAAGAGATGTTTCTACAATGATTTCCTACTAGAGACTATGAAAATGTAACATTCTTCTTCTTTTTTTTTTTTTTTTTTTTTTTTTTAGAGAGGAAGGGAGAGGGAGAGAGAGAAACATCAATGATGAGAGAGAAACATGTATCAACTGCCTCTTGCATGCCCCCTCCTGGGGATCAAGCCCACAACCTAAGCATGGGCCCTTGGCCGGAATCAAACCTGGGACCCTTCAGTCCACAGGCTGATGCTCTATGCATTGAACCAAACCAGCTAGGGCAAAACGTGACATTCTTGCACCCCACTCACCAGCCCCACAATCCTTCATTCTTATCTTTTCAACCGTTTATGCAAATTTTTGGCAATGCTAATATTATTTATTGTAATTATGCAAATATTGTCACAACTGAATATAGGTGCAGTAAGTATTTTTTCTTGCACAGTTTGTTTTCCCGGGACTGAATAACTGCTCCTTTGTTGTGAACCACATTCCCAATTTTCTATCTGTTTCCGACTGACCCCTAACCTCGCAGATAACCTCGGATCTCTTCTGAGTAGGTCGGCCGTGCCATGTATGTTTTAAAAATCTGGGGTGGGCTATGTGTTTTCCTTCTTGGCAACATCTCCTGGAACTATATCCCCCTCTTCAAATCCACAGGGTGCTTTCCAGACCTAGGGGGCAGCTGCCACCTTGGACGCTGCTTCCACCTCCCTCTGGTAAATCCCCGCTCCTCTGTCTCCTGGCTCCCACGTCATCTTCTTTCTTAGATAATCAGCTAGTTCTGATGGGACACATGCTCCAATGAATAGCTTCCTGAGGAAGACCACAGGAGAAGCACCTACTATTTAGAGAAACTGTATCTCTCTCTCCTAATCCCACACTTCATCGATCGTTTGGCTATAAATCTCTAGGTGAGAAATGCTTTTCCTCCGGAATTCTGAAGACATTGCTCCATTATCTTCCAGCTCTTAGTTAAGTTGGCTGTCATTCTGATTTCTAGTCTTCCGTATGTATTCTTCCCCCCGCCCCACAGACATGTATCCTCTCTACCTTTGATATTCTGACATTTCACGCCTTCCTTGGCGTTGTCTGTTTTCATTTTCTGTGCTGGGTACTCAGTAGGCCTGATTCCTTTTTGTGACAATTCTCTCATTTACTCTGTTCTTCTTTCTCTATCGCCAATGACTCATTGCCGGAGACCAATTCCAGCATGTCATAATTTCAAGAGTTTCATCAAGCAGTCCAACAAGAAGAAATAACTCTGGTAAATATATATGCACCCAATATAGGAGCACCCAAATACGTAAGAAATCTTCTGGAGAAGATCAAGGGAGAGATTGACAGCAATACAATCATAGTAGGGGATCTTAACACCCCATTATCTCCACTGGACAAATCCTCTAAACAGAAACTCAGCAAAGAAACATCAATCCTAAATGACTCACTAGATCAGATGGAATTAATTGACATCTTCAGAACATTTCACCCCAAAGTCACAGAATATACATTCTCCTCGGGTGCACATTTGTCATCTTCAAAGATAGACCATATATTGGGTCACAGACAAAGTCTCTTCAAATTCAAGAAAACTGAAATCATATCAAGTATCTTCTCAGATCACAAAGGCATAAAACTGGAAATCAACTACAACAAAAACAATCCAAAAAAATCAAACACATGGAGACTAAATAGCATGCTATTAAACAACAACTGGGTCACCAGTGAGATCAAAGAAGAAATAAAAAACATCATGGCAACAAATGACAATGAAAACACAACAATCCAAAACCTATGGGACACAGCAAAAGCAGTCTTGAGAGGGAAGTTCATAGCTCTACAAGCCTACTGCAAGAAACAAGAAACAATGAGAATAAATGACCTAACTCTACAACTCGAAGAATTAGAAAGAGAGCAACAAAAAAAGCCCACTGTAAGCAGAAGGAAGGAAATAACAAAGATCAGAGCGGAGATAAACGACATAGAGACCAAAAAAACAATACAAAAGATCAACAAAACCAAGAGCTGGTTCTTTGAAAGGATAAACAAGATTGATACACCTCTAGCCAGGCTCACCAAGAAACAAAGAGAGAGGACCCAAATAAACAAAATCAGAAATGAAAGAGGAGAAATAACAACAGACCCCATAGAAATACAAAGGATTGTTAGAAAATACTATGAACAACTCTACTCCAACACACTAGACAACCTGGAGGAAATGGACATATTCCTAGATAAATACAACCTTCCAAAACTTAACCAGGAAGAATCTAAAAATCTCAATAGGCCAATAACTATGGAGGAAATCGAAGCAGTAATCAAAAAGCTTCCAGCAAATAAAAGCCCGGGGCCAGATGGCTTCACAGGGGAGTTTTACCAAACATTCAAGGAAGACCTAAAACCTATCCTCCTCAGACTATGTCAAAAGATCCAAGAGGAAGGAGCACTTCCCAGCTCATTCTATGAAGCCAACATCACCCTAATCCCAAAACCAGATAAAGACAATACAATGAAAGAGAATTACAGGCCAATATCCCTCATGAACATAGATGCCAAAATCCTCAACAAAATCCTAGCAAATAGGATCCAGCAGTACATCAAAAAGATCATACACCATGACCAAGTAGGATTTATCCCAGGGATGCAAGGATGGTACAATATCCGCAAATCAATAAATGTGATACATCACATAAACAAATTGAGAGAGAAAAACCACATAGTCATATCAATTGATGCGGAAAAAGCATTTGACAAAATCCAACACCCTTTCTTGATAAAAACTCTCAGCAAGATAGGAATTGAGGGATCATACCTCAACATAATAAAAGCCATATATGACAAACCCACAGCCAACATCATAATCAATGGGCAAAAACTAAAACCATTCCCCCTAAAAACAGGAACAAGACAGGGATGCCCCCTCTCACCACTCCTGTTCAACATAGTACTGGAAGTACTAGCCATTGCGATCAGACACGAAGAAGAAATAAAAGGCATCCAGATTGGAAAAGAAGAAGTAAAACTGTCCTTATTTGCAGATGACATGATACTGTACATACAGAACCCTAAAGACTCCATCAAAAAATTATTAGACTTAATAAATGAATTCGGCAATGTAGCAGGATACAAAATTAATGCTAAGAAATCCATGGCATTTCTTTACACCAATAGTGAACTTACAGAAAGTGAAACTACAGAAGCAATCCCATTTACCATTGCACCAAAAAAATTAAAATACCTAGGAATAAACTTAACTAAGGAGGTA